CTCCCTTTGACTCGGCTTTTTCCTTTGACTCGGCTTTTTCCTTTGACTCGGCTTTTTCCTTTGACTCGGCTTTTTCCTTTGACTCGGCTTTTTCCTTTGACTCGGCTTTTTTCTTTTCCATTGCCTCCCAGTGTGCCACGATCTTTTGATTGTCCACGATAAACTCATTGATCTGAGGAAGAAACACACACAAATGAGAGTCTGTTATACTCAATTTCACTATGTTCTGTGAGGGAAGTCACCTTAACCAGCTGCTGTTCAGGCACCACGTCCCCATCTCCTTCCTCCCCAAAGATCGTGACATAGAGGTCAAGGATCCCAAGTTGAGTCTCAATCTCCGCCAGTTTTTTATTTGAAATTGTTTCCTGGACTTTCTTCCACTTCCTTTCCTGTAGAAAACAAACGACACCTGATATTTTTAAAAACTTTTTCATTACTTGGCTGTGATGAGGGACTTTAAGGTGCTTTTATACCCATTTCTGAGCTTTGGAGCGGGCCTCTTCCAGTTTTTTGTTGAGCTCGACAAACTGGAGTTGCTCTTGAATGCGTAGATGGTCAAACCGATCCTTTAGGGTCTGCAGGGTTTTTTCCTGCTCCTCCTGTTCTTTCTGGATCTGAGCCCCCCTCTCAGACAGCATGTCCTTCACATAAATGATGTGATCCAAATGTTGCGTGAGTGCATCCATATCATCAAACTGCAAAAAAGCTAGGTATAAATAATCAGGGCAAAAACAAATATTGCATGGTATTGCACAGTTAGAAATTCATTTAAGAGGTTTTAATTCGCAGACACTGACTATGTTTGTTACCTGTTTAAGAAACTGTATTATGTACTGTACAGTACGGATCCAGGCTTATACAGTTTTCCCTGGACGTATGTGCATGAATGTTTGCATCCTGTCTGGATTGATGCAACCAGCTGATGGTGTACCCTGCCTCCCACAGGCAACTTCAATTAAACATCCCTGAACATTTTGACTCATGTAGTTTTATTTTATTCCGCTCTCAACCATGTGTTGCATCTAACTTGGAGATACTGTTTTTGCACAAACAAAAAGAGATGTGAATGGGGTTAAATATGAGTCTATACAACTTCCTTGGCTCCCTATTTCGACTATGTGCTGCACTTTAGTCAACCAAAATCCTGGAAGATTTTGAAATTCCCACCAGACATTTCTTTAGGTCTGAAAAGTAGGACGTGTGCAGGAAAAAGAGCACCTGCTGGTCACCCTATCTTTGCTACTCTGGCTGCGCGGTGGAAAAAGTGGGTCTGATGTGCGTTGGGCGCAGCTACCCTATACTTTCTTTGCCTGTAACAATGACAGCTATATTTGCTGTGATCAGTGGGTGAAAAGTAATTTGAATCCACCGCATAAACATTGTCAGTGCAGT